AGACACAGTACACCACTTTAAAAAGCCACATGAAAAAGTTCTTTGTTGCTTTAGCATCTTTGCAGATGGACAACTTCCTTGCTTTACATAGTTCACATACTGAGCAATTTTTGCACAGGAACTTAAAAAAATATTACTGCATGATATATTTATTGAAAACTATTGGTCCATTGAAATTAAGAGAAGGAAGAAACAAACCAGCTTATTAGCTAGTAGATTAACGGTCTCTTCCAAAGTTAATTATTGAGTGAGGATTTTCTTTTTTAAGAATAGAAGAAATAGCTCAAAGCTTTTTCATGCAGAAAATACTTATATTTCAGCCTCATTATGATTAAAAATGCCATTCCTTTGTGCTTGGGGTTTTGCCAGCTGACGGCTTTTTGGCAAGAGCACACTCTCACAGCCGTGCCTGTGTAGCCTGTGACCTTGCTGGGTGTTTAGTTGTCTTAGCCTTGCCAGCAGGCTGTGCTGTGTCAGCTAAAGCAAGGGTTGCCTGGTTCTCTTTAGAATCATACACTCTGTTTTGTGATCTTCATTTTATATTCAGGAGAGAGAGATAAAAGACTAAGATGTATTGAGTACCACTCTTATGCAAGGGACCAAGCTTGACATTATATACATTGTTGAATCTTTATAACAAGCTCATGACATAGGTATTATTATCTTCATTTCACAGAGGAGTAACAGGCTTGGAGCATTTGAATTGGAAAGCCAGGTTTCAGAGGTCTGACTCCAAAGCCCACTACATCTTGTAATTTCAGTACTGCTTTTTCTTACTCTATTTGAGATTGTGTTATTTGCAAAGTTTAAATGTTTGTATTAAATACTCATGTCTGTGTGATAATATACTGGCTAATGTATAATAGATTTGAACACAGCTGATTTGTGTTTTCTTTCAGCTTCAGTAGAAAGTAGTTCATTCCATTACGGGCATGTATAAAAAATTATATTCCCCACACAAACTGGTCAGGAGGTATAAACAGAAATCTTTGGAATATTGAAAACCTGAGATAAGGTCTAAACCAAATAGCATTTTAAAATCATCAACTCTTCATTTTTTTCCTATAAAACTAGGATAGGAAAGAGGACTAAACCATATAAGAAGTAGCAAGTGCCAAATTTTATTTAACTTTGTATTATGATCTTTGCATGTAGCCTCATTTAATTTGGACAAGCGCTTTTGTGTATATTAGAGGAGAGAGGTATTTCCTCTGTCATGTCCCATTTTGTGTCCTTGGCTCAGGGAGATGAATTACTGTCTCTAGAGGCTGTTGCCTCCAACTCTTTTCTGTGCAGTTAAAGTATAGAAAAGAGTACCTTTTGCTGCATGCCAAAGAGAATTCTCTCTTAATTGGCCTTCTACTGTAGGCCACACTTCCAAATGTGTCACTAATAATGAGAATAATAATAACTGCCATATACTGGAGAAGGCTGTATGCCAAGAATTCTGCTTGATAATTTATGAACTTTGTTAGTAGTTTTCACTAAAATTAAGGGACAGCATTATTTTTCTCTTTATACAGATGAGGAAACTAAGGACACACATTTAGTAAATAGAAGAATGAAGATTCAGACCCAAGTTCTCTGACTCTGAGAGTGTGTTCCTGCTCCATTAATTAGTATCCTATACTCCTTACTACTGCATAAACTCAAGTAAAGAATCTTTCCCTGAAACCCCTGTAGGCTCTGACAGTCATATCTGAGACCAGAGCTCATTTATATTTTATCAGTGTAGTTTCAATTTTTTAAAAATTCCAAACTTTTCTATATGCCTTTAAAGTCTGCAGACTTCTATATGTGATGAAAGGATTTGTATACAGTCAGAGAAGTAGTGAAAAAATATAAAATAGGAATTTTTAATGTAATTTTGAGGTCTCTTTCATTGCAAGTAGATTCTGATATTTCTATGTATATTTTTTCCATCTATGTTTTATAAATTTGTAGCCTTTTATACCAGTAGAGAAGTTTATACATGTTTACTAAAGTAGCAATACATATTATTGTGGTAATTATGTATTCTTATGCTTAAAAAAACATACTGTATAGTGGTTTAAATTTTACAGATTACTTTCACATTCGGTTTTAACAACTTGGTAAAGTTGAGGGGTTAGGCACTATTATGCCATTTTAACATATGTGCAAACTGAGGCTCTGATCACATGGCTAATAAGTGAAAGAACAGACACATAAGATATGAACAGACAATTCACAAAAAAGAAACTATGTAAAAATGGCCCTCAGACACATTGAAAAATGTTCACACTGATAATTAGAGAAATACAAATTCAGAATGACAGAAATTTTTAAATAAGACAACATGTTTTAAAACTTGGTGAAACTGTGGGAAAACCAATGCTCTCATACATTGATGAAGGGAATGCAAATTGGTGTAACTCCTCTGGAGGGAAATACCAAAGAATCTACACATGTATTTACCTTTTGACCTAACAAGTCCACTCCTAGGAATCTATGATGAAGGTATACTTCCAACAATATAGTTGTATACGTATACATGAGTTAGTATACTTACATATGTTTTGTAGATCTTTCTACTTAGGGATCCTAGAAGCAATGTCATTCCCATAGTAATGAGCACACCTAGCACTCAGATCTTGGTTTCTAAACACCATACCCTATTAAAAGGAATTAAGGCTCCTTGGAGAAGTAATTGATTTCAGGGCTATAGCAGGGAAAATACAAGCTGAGCTGGGACTGTCTTGTGGTGCCAGAAAGTATGATGATACTCAAAAAAGGATGAAAACTTGTTGAAAGAACATAAGGACCAATTTTAAGTGTTCCTAATTGCCAAAACTGAAACATTTTAACCACTACAATGAACAATAATGGTATTGGGTTTTTAGTCCTTACAATAAAATAAATATCCATGAATCCATACTGTTATAAAAATCAAATAAATGGGGGAGAAGGGATGGCTCTTCCTTACAGAAGAATTCCAGTTAATAAATGTAGACAGAAAGATGGTAATCGAAAATCACCACTAAATGAATACCGTGTAATAATTGTTGCAAACAAGACCCATTGATGAATGCTAAAATTAATGGGCAAAACTTTGAGAAGGAACAGGATATTTACATAGTCTTGGGGCTGTAGTAATCTGAAGACTTGACCTGGGACTTGGGGGAGCTGCTTCCAAGGTGGTTTACTCACATGGCTGTTGGCTGGCAGTCTCATTTCCTCTGCTGGAGGGCCCTCATGACAAAGGAGTTGTCTTCCTGAACAAGCGATCCAAGGGAGAGAGCAAAGAGGAAGCCACAATGCCTTTTGTGACTTACTCTGAAATCACAAAATCACACAGCAGTTCTGCTTATTGTGTTTGTTAGATATATTACAACCACCACACTGGGAAAGGGCATCTCTAGCTAGTAGGCCAGTAATTTTTTTTTCTCCCTAAGAGTTGCCACTTCCCAGTGCTTTTGTTGCCTGTTCCCAGTGCTGCCAATTTTGGTTCCTCTTTTTGTAACTTGCCCCAGTGCTATTCCTGGGCAAGAATACTGTGATAGGACTTGTAGTGGAAAAGAGGAGGTAATGTTCACCTTTTCCTACCCATTTCCATGGCAAACCCTTCCTTACCTCAATCTTATATTATCCCCCTCTCACTTAATGTAACAAATTATCCAGAACCCATCTGTGAAACAGAGACTTTATACAAGCCTCTTAATAGCTGTGATCATATTATATTACAGTTATCATTTTTCATGTCCGTCCTCAATATCATATTCATATCTGAATCCCCAAGGCCTACCATAGTGCCTAAAAGGTCCTTAATGGGTGAATGGGTTTTGTTTTGAAATGTAAATATGCTTAAGAACCACCTAATTTAGCTTTCTGGGCCTTTGTCTTTCCTAACTGTAGAAGGACAGGGGAAAAAGAGAGCTCCTTCAGCCTATTTCCTATTTTTCACAAGCAGAATTATAGTTTGAAACTTTTCAGAGATTGAAAACTTTTCAAAGATTATGTTCTTACTTCAGGAGGCAGAGGGTTGGCAAGGCTACTGAGGATTCTGTTCTGTGCCTCTATAACGATGAAGACAAATAGCTCTACCCTGTGAGTGATAGGAGTGGAAAGGAAAGCTGGTCGAACAATCTTGGGCACACAGTAGACAGGAAGGGATGACCTCGGCACTTGGAAGTGTCTCTGCTGCCTGTGATGGCCAGAGAGCACCTTCAGTACTTTGTGCTTTGTTTCCTCACTGAATCCTCCTCCAGTCTTTGCTCCCCCCTTGTCCGGCTACTTCTGCGAAACTTCTGGATTCTCCCTGTTTCTGGCATACTTGTTCCTATTGCAGATTCTTCTCTTTGGGCTCCCTTTCTCACCTCTTCCCATTCCTGGTACAAACCAATTCCTGTCCCGGCTTCCTGGCTTGCAGGTCTTGTCCATCCGTCTGTACCTCACACCTCACTGAGGACTGGGATTTGGGGTTCCCTTTGCTTCTTCCTGCCCCTGCAGCCACGGGCAGTTCCATCCATTCTTAGATCCACCTGGCTCCTGAGGCCCGGCCCAGCCAGGGTCAGATTGATCCCTAGCCCTCCTTTACCCCTCCTCCCATCTTTCTGCCCAGGGGAGGTGAGACACAGTAGGCTGACCTGCCAACTTAGTTTGTGTAACACTTTTTCCTATGGAGAAAAATGAAACTAAATAAACGACCTATAACAAACTTAATAAATAAATAGAAATTGTTTATTAAAAGTCATAGAATTTTTATGTGGGAAGGAAATCTAATAATATTTCATTCCCAGTACTCATTTTACAGCTTAAATGCTCAAGGTTCAGGTGGGTTGAGTAATTTTTCAATAGTCATGTTTTCTGATGTAGAATCTCATATTACAGCTGACATAAGTTCACACCTAGTTAAATCTGCAACACTTTTTTTCTTCCAGAGTAGAAATTTGAATTATTCTAATATTATGTATTAAATTTTATGTTTCACATTATATTGGTGTATGTTTATAGGAATTACAGCACTTTTCTTTCTAATCCAGATTTAGGTCGATCTCGAGAACTACAATATGTGTACGTGGATAACAACATTCATCTGAAAGGCTTGCCGTCCTATCTGTACAACAAAGTCATCGGGTGCAGTGGGTAAGGCTGATTTCACATTTTATACTATCACTCACCTCTTTTGCTAGCTTTGTTTCTACTTCAGTATTTAGTCCTGATAAAACTCAAAAATAGATGAACTACTTTTGATAATCCTGTTCAGTTTTGTTTTGGGGCTTAATATGTTAAACCAAATACCCTTAAAAGTCAAGAATATTGAGCAAGCAATTTAGAGTATTGTACTTCAAGTTTAGTTAGTAAGCTGTAAATTTGGTCAGTAAGTTGTTTGTTATTTTCCAGTCAAAAGAAAAATTAATCTATGCATACCATTATAAGCTCAATAGTATTAGTCACAGAAACTGGAGGAATCTGCATTAACGTAAAAGCTTTTCTTTCTCTGCACTCCATTGCAGTGACAATTTTACCACATTAGTATCTAGGACTATACCAATTGAAAATATTTAGAGCTCAACATTTGAAATAGTCCCTCAGTACAAATCATGATTCTAGCAACCAAAACGTATGTTTCAGTTAATAAGAAACGATAGGCTTTTATTTTCAGAGCAGCAATGATCTTTCATTCTCAGTTAGGCTTTTAGAAAGATGGCTTCAGCTTCTCCTTCTATAGCAGTGAGAAAGAACCAACCCTAAAGTCGTTCCCAGAGTGGCATGGGCTTAACACCGGACAACTCAGCTGCCAGAACCTGCTTTTGACTGGCCTCACTTAAGCAGCCAAAGGATACTTGGAACACCTTTGAGGGTACTTAGCCAGCATGTTGACTCTCTCCTTATAATTTCAAACATCCTGCGTAACCTGGCTCATACTGTATGTAGTTCTGGCAAGGAAAGGGATGCCAATAAACTTGTGTGTAGCGACAGCCACTCCCCTGCTGGCATGGCTCTGGGGGATGGGCATTGAGCAGTGATTGCTCCAGAGAGGGTAATCCTAGTGGCCTTCCCCTAAGAAAAATTATACAGTTGTTATCTTGGGAGAGCCCTAGATGAATTCAGTGCCTGTATAGGCTGATGAAATACAAGCCCAGAGACATATTCCAGAACCTTCTATGAAGCATAGAAAATAGAATATGTAATGGAGTTTTTAGCTCATTGATTTTTCTACAGCTGATCATGTGACAGCTACGATCCTACTCACTCATTAATCATAATGAGTTTGTAAAAGATCTATAATATAGCCTAATTTTTCCAAGTGGTGAGTGAAATACCCTCAATCACCAAGATACACGGAATGATGCAAGTAGGCTCCAAAGCGGAAGGCAATTTTCTTGCACCAAAGCCTTCAGAGACTGCACTGAAATATGATTTAAATCTCTACCACAATTAAAGAATAGCTCTTACTTGAGGTAAAGAGCCTTCTTCTTTGGTGTTTAGACATGGATATTACTGACTGCCAGAAAGTTCTATTTGTGCAGAGTAGAGAGATAGTATATTTTATTTTATTTATTTCATTTTTGGCCGAGCCGTGCAGCTTGCGGGATCTTAGTTCCCTGACCAGGGATCGAACCTGGGCCCACGACAATGAAAGCACCAAGTCCCTACCACTAGACCACCAGGGAATTCCCTTTTTTTTTTTTGATATATTTTAATTGTTGACTTGGTATCTGGTAGCAGAGGTAGTGAATTTTATGAGAGTTCCAAATCTTTGAGAAAACAGTAAGGCAGAATATGCAAATTACTAGCAGATAGTCTACATTTTTTATTATTATTAGCATCTTCCTTTGGTAGTAGTAATAAGAAGATAAATAAAATTTTTAAAAAGACAGTTATCAAACAATCAGTTTTCTAATATTAATAGATTTTGGAGTGTTGGCAGTCCCACATACAAATAAACAGTGATCCAAAAGGTATTTTTAATCTGTTGGTTTAACTCAGAATGCATTTCTTATAGAAGCGGTTCTGGTGGTTATACTCCTAGCCAGCTCATTAAAAGGTCATTTAACCCATTTTGCACCCCCCAAATTATACTTACTTATAAAATATTTCTGTGGCAAAAATGTATTCAGAATTCTAATACATGTGACTGTTGAAGTCTTGGCAACAGAATTTAGGGGCTCCCCTTCTTTTATCTCTTTTATCTGTTGTATATGTGCAAAGGGACTCTCCCATTCCAAGTCAAAGTGGGGGTGTTTTGGGAAAAGGAGGGGCAAGGTCTAGAACAGGGTTCTAAGGTAAATCTTATATAAAGAGCATAAGGGTATTTGAGGCCTAGAAAGTGTACCTTTTGATTCTGAACAAGGATCTTGGTTTGGTTGTTTATTCAGTGCGTATTTATTGAGCAACTACTCTGTTTGGTCACTGTCTAGACAATGGACATGCAATGTAGGAGCCAAACAATTCAAGTACCTGCCTTCCTGGACCTCATAATCTAGCTAGGGATCCAAGTGAACAGTCAATAATTAAACAAACTCAGTGCTAATTCTCTCCAAGGAGATGATACTTAAGCTAAGCGTAGAAGGATCAGCACACTTGGTTCTCCACCACCGTCACATGTTCTTTCTAGCCCAGAGGTAGGTCTGGAATAAAGAACACATCAGCTCCTGCTGTACTGTGCTTTCTCTGAAAGAATTGTATTACCCTTCTCTGATTAACAGTCTAAGAAAATTAGAGCAAAATGAATACAGCTTTAGGGACCTGTGGCATGATATAAAAATGTCTGACATATATATATATAATTCACATCTCAGAAGGAAAATAGAGAACCAGGTATAAGGCATATAAAAAGATATAAAAATAGCTAATAACAAATGTTGCACAGTTTCAAGAAATCTCAGAAGTCTCACAAAATTATCTTTGATATTCATAGAAATGTGAATAAAGTTAGCTCCTCCTTATTCTATGTTCATTTATTTGTCAAGTAATTATTGAACTTTAGCAAGTCAGCACTGTGCTAATAATTGTAGAAAAGATAATTTAGATGTTTATCCTAATATATAAAAATAACTAATACAAAAAATAAATACCCTAAGAGAAAAGTAGAGTGGTGAAAATTTAGAGCAGGGGACTGCCTCTTTATGTCCTAGCTTTGAAGTCACACACTGCCATTTCTATTATATCCTATTGATTACACAGGTTAACCCTATTCATTGTGAGAGGGAACTTCCAGGAGGGGAGCAGCATGGGAGCCATCCTGGAGGATGGCTGTCACAGATTCCTTGCATTCATGCTCTTTGCTAGCCTCTTGGAAAGGTATAATTTTTATTTTGTCTGGATTTTTCTTATTGTTACCACAGAAACAAATGTCTTCCATTCTTCTATATTTTACCTTGAAAGAGAAGTCCCTCCCATGTTAGAACTTTAAAAAGTGGTAATTGGCACATTTGCTTACTCAGGAGAACTTAATGTTAAAAGTGGCCCAATACCAGAGTTATTTTCTCAGTTGTCTGATTATGAGAAAAAGAAACCAAGACACTGCTTTGCTTTGTCTTATATAAATAAGCAATTATAGCTGGATTTGGGTACAAATTGGATAAATGATTTGGTTAAATGGTTTGTTAATATAACCACTCAAGGTAACAGAGTTGTCTTTATGAGAAATGCATTCAGAGTTCTGAGTTAAATCAGCATACTAGAAAGTATCCTTTGGCTCACAGTCCATTTTTGTGTGGGGGCTGCCTACACACAAAAAACAAACTGTACTAGATACTTGAACCACACCTCCATGTGGCAGGCACAAAGCAGCCTAGCTACATATTAAAAAAAAAACTGAGGTATGATTTGAGCTGTCACTCAAGTGACAGAGTTTGTTGTTTGATTCCAATGTAGTAATTAATTGCTTATTAAAACAAAAATAGTGACACTCCTTTTAAGTTTTAGAGGAATATAACAGAATCCAGAGTATCCACAATATAACTTTCAAAATGTCCAGGGTACAATCCAAAATTAAGTAACATTTGAAGAATAAAGAAAATATGACCTAGTGTCACGGAAAGTAAAAACTTTACTTGATGAGCTTAACACAGAATGGTATAAGAGAGGAAAAGTCAGTGAACTTGGAGGTAGATCAATAGAAATGATTCAGTCTGAAGAACACACACACACACACACACACACACACACACACACACACACACACAAAGACTGAAAGCAAGAATGAACATCAGCATCATCAGGGACCTGCCAAACAGTACAAAAAAGCCTGATATTTGTCATCCCAGAAGGAGAATAGAGAGAAAATGGGGTGGTAACAACAAAATTGTTTGAAGAAATATTGTCCAAAAATTTGCCAAATATGATGAAAGACATAAATTTACATTTTCAAGAAACTCAGTGAACTTAAGTAATATAGATTACAAAGAAAACTGTACCCAGTCAAAGCTGCTGAAAACCAAAGATAAAAAGAAAATCTTGAAAGCAGCCAGAGAAAAATGACAAACTACATACAAAGAAATAATTCAAAAGACCATTGCCTTCTCATCAGAAATTTTGAAGGCCAGAAAACAGTGGAATGATATTTTTAAAGTGCCAAAGAAAAACACCAGTCAACCTAGCAACCAGCAAAAAATACCTTTCAAGAATGAAAGTGAAATAAATGCATTCTCAGATGGAACAAAACTAAGCCTTAAAGAGGCTCTGCCAAGAGGACAGACGTTTTATCCAAACCAAGGCTTATTCTATCAGGGTGACATAATTTCTTTCCTTCTCCATATCTACTTTTTCCCTTTACTTTTCCTCTTATTTTAAGCTGAAAAAAAAAAACTTTTTTGCTAAAAAGGGTTAATCTGGTAGCAGTTCCCCCAATAATGAGCATGTGGATGACAGCGTATTTTCTGAAGTATAAAAGACAGTTACTTGCGTTCTTTTGGTAAGGGAATTGAAACTAATTCTTTACTCTTAACACTTTGGTTGGTGGCATGGTAAGTTTGAAAATGCATATGAATTAATTTGCTACATCACATACATGTTTTGGAGCATAATCTCCGTGGCAAAATGATGTTACCATTCATTTAGCTTGTTTAGGTTTAAATGCTGAATGGCAGCTCTGAAAACATTGAGTTGAAAGGGAATTGTGATAATTGTTATAAATT